CACATAGTGTCACCATCTTGTAACATATCCCCAATATTGATTTACGGTACATGGTATTTTTGACACCAACACAATTATTTATTAATGGTTTTTCTTTACCTTATTTGTCTTTGATAAACGAAACTCGATTTTTAAATCTAGAAAAAATACAGCCTAATTTTTTTTTAAATTTATTTGCATAACAAATGATTTTTTTTTTTTTTTTATCAATCGAAATTATGTATAAATACATTAAATAAAAATATAATTTATAATTATTTATTCATTTTTGGTCATCAAAAAGATTTCCCTGAAAAAAAAATATATTTTTTTTTATTATATTATTTTAAAAAAAAATTAATATAATATATTTTTTTTTAAAAAAAAGGGAGTCTTTGTTTCTTTCTCTCTCTCTCGAATTTTCTTGGAAAAGAAACAAAAACGAACAAAGTAACAACAAGCATAAGTTAACAAAGAAACGCATACATATACAAGTTCATAAGTTTATATGATAAAATTATGGAATCAAATAAGGAAATACTTACATCTTCATCTAACCAAACAAATCCTAAAAGTCCCAATTCTAACAATTCTAATGATAATTTAAAATTCATTGATTATTCTCGTTTTGAAAAGATCAATGAATTAAGACTTAATTTAAATGAATTGGGTATAGAATTATTTAAAGCAATTTGGAAAGATACAAATTCTAATGTTTTATTAAAGAAATTTCATTCTCAATATTTGGAAAATGTAAGTTATCTCTCAATATTCAAGTTCTTTTCTTTCTAAAATTAATAAAAATAATAAAATTAATAAAATTAATAATTTTATAAATTTTATAAATTTTTTTTTTTAGATAAAATTATTTTATAAATCATGTCACCAAAGTATTTTACCAATATTCGGTTATACTAAAAATCCGAATAGCGAAGATGTCGAAGATTATTTTTTGATAATAGAATATCCTAACGGAGGAAATTTACGAAATTATATGAGTGAAAATTATCAAAAACTTTCTTGGAATGATAAAATGAGATTTGCTGTTGACTTAACAAGTGGTTTACAATGTATACACAGTTATGATATCGTACACTTAAATTTGGTAAATATTAATATATAAATAAATAGTTATAAATAATTACTTATAAATAATTACCTATAAATAATTATAAAATGGTTTTTTTTTTTACTCACCTCAACTCCTTCTTTCTTCTTCCCCTTTATAGCATCCATTTAATGTATTTATCCATAATAATAGGTTATTAATAGGAGATATAGGACTTTCAAAACCTACACCTGATATTACAATACCCGAAAATAAGAAAATTTTACCTTATGTTGAACCTGATTCGTCCTTACCACGTGACAAAAAATCTGATATATTTAGTTTAGGTTTCATATTGTATGAATTATCAAGTGGAAAACCACCTTTCGCTTCGGCTCGTCATAATCTTGATTTAAGTAAAAAATTATTATCAGGTGAAAGAGAAAAACCTATCGCGGGTACTCCTATTGAATATATTGATTTATATGAACAATGTTGGGATAATGATCCTATTGTAAGACCAAGTGCTGAAGATGTATTATCTAGATTAGGTAGAATGAATTTATCTACAATTTATGAGGATACAGAAATTAAGACTTTTAAGACAAACATTGAAAAAAAGAATGTTAATTTTAATAACAAAAGGAATGAAATTGAAGTTATATCCGAGACTTCAACACACAATCGACTCGATTCTGTCGTACTTGATTTTGGTGGCGGAGTAGATAGCGGATTTGGTAGTGGTAAGTAATAAGTTATTATAGTTATTATAGTTATTATGATTGTTAATGGTTATTATGGTTATGATTCACTTGTCGGTCTCGCTAATTTACTTTATATCTATTTTTTTTTTTTTTTTTTTTTTTTTTTATGTATTTGTATTTTTTAATAATTTATAGGGGTAAGTTATTTCTTTTTAAAAATTAAATTAAAATAAATGAATATGAATATATTGTTAACCTTACTTGATATTTCTTGATATTTCTTTTTACAGTCACGAGAGAGACGACCAATTCCAAAAGAAAAGAAAGGTAAATACCAAAAAAATTTACAAATAATAATAATAATATAATAATAATAATAATAAAATATTAATTATTGTTTTTATTTATTTTAGGGAAAAAATGTCAACTTTTACCATGCTTACCAAAATGTAGAATCACTTTTGGAGTTTTTCTATGTTGGATGTGTATAATTCTTTTAATAGCTTGTGTATTTTTAGGATTCTTTCTAACAAAACTTATTAAAAAATAATTTTTTTTAAGTTTTTTACGTACAATCCTAATTTTGTATATTATATGCGTTTTATAGTATAATATGTTTTTATGTAATTTATAATTTATGATTTTTTTTTTTTTTCATGTACCATTTTGAATTATTTGTGTTTCTTTTTATTTTTTATTTCAAATGTTCAAATGTTCAAAATATTCAAATGTTCAAATATTCGATTGTTCAAATATTCAAATTTCGAATATTCAAATTTCGAACGTTCAAATGTTCAAATGTTCAAAATATTCAAATTTCGAACTTTCAAATGTTCAAATATTCAAATTTCGAATGTTCAAATGTTCAAATATTCAAATTTCGAACGTTCAAATGTTTAAATGTAATAAAAAGTATCAAATTGTATTATAAGAAAATTGTATCAAATTGTGATATCATGTACGTACGTTGTTGTAATGTTAGAACCCCTGAATCTTGGAATATTTGATTTGTTTCAGAAACGAATTGTTTTAATCATTGTGAACTTTTTTAGAAAAAATACGGATGAACATTTAAAGATTGCGAAAACACTGAACTTTGTAACATTGTAACATTGTAACATTTGGTACGTTGAAATAATTGTTAACGAACCATTGTTAACGAACCAGTACCAAGAACAACAAATGGTAGTCACCGACCTGCATCTGGAACGCCCAACATCCAAAGGTCGTAAACAATGACCTTACCATTATGTACATTGAATTACGTGCACTTAACCACTTAGATTACCGTACTTAATATGCTTAGTATGCTTAGTATGCTGTAAACCGAAACCCGAAACCCTCTTGAAACGTAAGCCAGTAAGTCGAAGTCATTGTTGACAAAAAACGTAATCTCGCAGACCACCGAAAGTTGAAACAATGCAAGAATGTAAAATTATCAAAGATGTAAAGAATGTAATTAAGCTACACTAAGCTACAATAGGATACAAAGTGTTATTTACTCTAACAAGTCTAACTCTAATCACATGATCAAAAAATATCTGATGCTGCGCCACAAAGAAATTTAGGTATTATTTTATATATATAGTATATTTATATTTATAGTATATTATATATCAAAGACTCTTTGAACCATTTACTTGTACGAGACTATTACTAATATGACAAATAAATGTATGATAAAATTATATTTTTAAATATAGAGTAAAAATGTAATAATATTACGTATCAAAACGTCATGAACTTTATGAAACTTTTTAATACCAAAGTAAACAATATCTAACATGTAAAATATATATTAAACATGATTTAATATAACCTTTGCTTGATTAGTAATTATGTCAAACTTGATAAACCTGTTTCATAATGGTACAAAAAAAAAATAAAATGTTCTTTGAATCAATGAAATTTTTTTTTATCGATGAGTACAAGAAAGGAAAATTTATTTTCCGGTAAAGAAAAAAATTGCCTTTATATGGTATAAAATTGTAGTTTTAAAATTTATAATCGGAAGTTTTAAAATTAATTTCACGTTTAAAACAAGTTTTTTAACATGATTTTTTATTTTGATCTCTTTCTTCTTTCAGTCAAAATTAATCTTAAACCTAATCGGAATTTTTCTATTCCATTAAAGGAATAAAGTTTGATATTTTACGAAACAACCTTTTTTTGGCGGGAAAAAAAAAAGGAATGTTTTTTTGTGTATCAGATTTTGTTTATTTATTTTCTTAATGCAAAAAAAAAAGATGTTTTGGACTTAATACAACTGATTACATTGTGACATGTTTTTTAACAAAGCTTTAAGTTTGGTGATACAATAAATTTTTTTCTTTCCAAAAACGTTGTAGAATGCAATATTCAAACATTTTAGGAACTTGTTTACTTTAAACGCACGGATTTCTTTATTTTATCCTAAATCAAGGGACAAAGATAAATAAATTAATCCGATGCTTCAGAATGACGTAAACATCAAACAAATTAATTTATTGGTACGGGAATATTTTTATTTCGTTGTTTATTCATTATATTTAATATTTTTATATATAATGTTTTTTTTTCCAAGTTTGTAACTTCAAAATTTCTAACATTTAATATCCTTATATTAAATTTTTAATATTAAAATCGTTGTTTATTTAAAAAAAGAACAAGGTTTTTTTTTTTTTTTTTGGTCTTTTGAAAAGAATTCTTTGTTCTTCAATATTCCTTTGTTGTTGTTATATGACGAATCATGTAACACGGATATCTACATACCAATGAATTTATTAAGTCCGATCGTATTTAAACGAATCATTTTTATTACATGTGATTTTATGTAATTTTTTAAAATTTAAATTTAATTATTTTAATTAAATTTTTTTTTTGTCTAATGCATATAAATATTTATATAATTTATATAATTTAATGGTTTTGAAAATAATCAATTCATTATACACACAAAAACTCGCAAAAAAAAAAACTCCTTTTTATTTATTTATTTATTCTTTTTTTTTATACAATCTATAATCTACAATGGTTCATGTAAAATTAAATTCTGACATTATTCGTCAGATTATTTTATCCCTCGCCGATTCAGATCCGAAAACTGGAGAATACAAGTCTTATTCTATTTTATATCCTTGCTTGCTCGTTAATCGTGAATGGTGTAGAATTACTGTTCCAATTTTATGGCAACAACCTTTTAGTTTCGATCATATTAGAGGTGCAAGAGCGATTGTAACCTATTGTAGGTTTCTTTCTTTTCATGAAAAACAAATTCTTATTGAAAATGGAATAAATATTAATTTACTCTTTCAAAATGGTTCAAAATCTCAATATGAAGAGGAAGAAGATAACAATAATAATTTAAATAGTTTAAATAGAGGAAATGTCATGTCTTTAGAATTTATAACAAATTCATCCAATTCATCGTCATCATCATCATCATCATCATCATCATTTTATAATTATGATCTTAGTGGATTTAATTATCCATTATACCTTCGAAGATTGCATTATGAAAATTTTTTTAAATCAGCCGAATACATATGTATTCGGCTGTCGGATTATTCTGAAGGTGATTTGTCCGCCGGAGAAGACGAATATAATGAAGAATATTATGATGATGAAGATCAGAGGGATTTTAGTGAGCAAGCAAAATTATTGGTCAATAGTTTGTTAACTCTTTCACAAAAAAATGGTGCAAGATTAAATGGTCTTTGGTTTTCACCTGATTCTCCTTACAATGATATCGATAAATATGAACCGCTTTATGAGTACGGCAAGTTATTAGAAGATGTAAACGTGCTCGATATCTGCTGTCTTTTTCGAAAGCCCGCCTTGTTTTCGATCTTAGGTCGTATGTGCCATCAAGTTCGGCATTTAAGAATACATATGATATGGAGCCGCCATTATGAGGAGAAACATATCGATAAGACGGGAGAGGTCATTCATGAATTAATCTCTTCTCAAAAGTCATTGGTCTCATTTCATTTGGAATCTTGTAAAGCCTATACAAGAATCTTCTTTCCCCTCCTGTCTATTCATAGTCGAAGTCTCAGGCACCTAAAATTCGATCAAGTCGATTTTAGAGGTTGTCCATCTTGGGCTCCAATTTCGGACTGTGCTAATCTCCAATTATTGGAGATTATCCAATGTACGAATATGGAACCGGATATGGTTCGACCTCTAATTTCGAACAACAATACTCCCGGAGAGAAATTTAAGGTGAAGTATATAAAAATTAATCATTCTTGTAGAGAATTAGAAGAATGGGTTAAGAGGGTTAATGGTTATAAACAAATAGATTTACCTATCGATATTCAGAAATTGGATGAAGCAAGCGGAAGTAATAATAGAACTAAAGAAATATAGATTAGACTTGGGGGAAAAAAAAAGGTTCTCAAAGTTTTTTTTTCTAAAAAAAAAAGAAAAAAAAAAAAAAAAAAATTATAAAGAAAAGATTCGTACTTACGAATCTTTATCTTTGGGTTTTCGTTCTTCGGAAGCCCACCCGAACCTAAAAAAT